GAGACAGACAGGCAGACTCATAGACAGACAGATGGACAGACAGACAGACTCACAGACAGACGGACAGACAGACAGACAGACAGATGGACAGACAGGCAGGTTCATAGACAGACAGAAGGACAGACAGACAGACAGACAGACAGACAGACAGACTCATAGACAGACAGACGGACAGACAGACAGACTCACAGACAGACAGACTCACAGACAGACGGACAGACTCACAGGCAGACAGATGGACAGACATACAGAATAATAAAGTTACTCAAATTTGACAAAATAATAAAACTGGGATATATAGCACATATCCCAGCTAAAAGAGAACACTCAGAACTTTGGCTAATGTTCTGGCAAGGCAAGTAATATTAATAGAACGTTTGTTCAATGTTATGTGGTCTTTAATGATGTTCTCAAAACGTTTGATCAAAAACATTATTTATAACAATATTTAGGGAATTTTTTCTGAAATGTTTTAGTTGCACTTTCTTCTAACATTTTAAAAATGTTACTACTTGCATCGGAACGTTAAGAGAACATTCAAAACATAACGTTCCAATAATGTTTGCAAAATGGTAAAATGCAATATTCCCTTAATGTTTGCATAACAAAACAAAAAAAATTAATACACTTAAAAAACCTGAACATTCAGAAATAAAGTTTTTGTAACTTAATGGGGAAATTAGCATAACGTTCTTAAAACATATTTTTGTTAGCTGGGAACAGTTTTGCTTTTGTGTCACATTAAACCAGGCATACCAGAGATCAGTTGCATAAACACAGTCTTAGTGTCTTAACTCGACTGACTAACTAGCAGTTAACCAAGTGTTAGAACAAATTAGACCAATCTGTGTTTTTATGCAGCCAGTTTTCAAAAGTTATGACCAGTCTTGCCTAAAAAAAGAAATTAAATGACTAACTTTTAAGACTAGTTTAAGCTGTTTCCATGCTTGTGTCCTTAGTTAATACCCATTACCCTTCACTAATGTGAAGCTCTGTCACGCTGCCCGGAAACAGATCCCAGCATGTGTTTTTGTGTTGATTGTCCTGGCAAAAGACTCACAGAAGAAACGCCAAGCTTTTTAAATAGAGCTGGTCTCTTGAGACGCCAATGTAACACTGATAGCAACAAATGACAGTATTATTTATAGACGAACACCTGTGGACACTAGAGACGTGAATGAGATCTGATCAAAACACAACACCCTGATGAACCTCCACAGCACTGCTCTAAGCCTCATCAGGATCCAGTTACTTTCTATGCAAATATTAAAGATTGTTTTGAGCAGCTTCAGTAATCATTGTAGATGATCAAATATAAACTGAATCTGATTCTGACCATCAGTTCATACAGAAACATTATCATGAACATGACAGGAAAATCATCTCAGCTAACAAGGAACGTTCTCAGAACGGTTTTGGCAAGGTTCTTTCAAAGTTATGACTTACGTTCTTCTAGTAATATTAATAGAAAGTTCATTCAGTGCTATCTGGTCTTCAATAATGATCTCAAAATGTTAGCACAGAAACATTATGTATACAGCAGCATTCATGGAACGTTTTATTACCGAAACATTTTTGTTGCACGTTCATCTAAAAATGTTTCAATTTTTACAAACGTTATTATTTTTTTTTGGTTATTCATTCTATTCTATCGTTTTACAAATAGGCTATTATGGAAACTTTACTTTTGAACATTCTCTTAACGTTCTGCAAAAAAAAAAAAAACGTTAGATAAATGTCTAAATAAAATATTCCATGAACGACGTATAAATACCATTTTTGTGCTAACGTTTTGCAAACATTATTAAAAACCAGATAACTTTAACCCTTGTGCGGTCTTCGGTCATTTCTGACTGGAGAATTTTACATTTTGAATTTTTAAAAATCATAGCTTCACCAGAATGGTACAAAACTTGGTGACTTTTATGGCACTTGGTATGTGAACACACAACAAAATTGAGGGCATGATTCGAAAAAGCTAAGTGGCATGATTCGAAAAAGCTAAGCGGTCGTAAAAAAAATAGTCACACTCATGGTCTTCGGTCAAAAATGACCGACCATAGGAAATGAATGGGAAATGGGGAAAAAAAATTAAAAATACGGAAAATTTTTATGTGTACAATCTACAAATCCCCCACAATGCGGAAATAAATTGCACAACAATGAAGGGGAGAAACTCTAAAACATCTAGAGTACAAAATCAACACACCAACTCACACACGCGCGGACACAAACTTGTACACACACACACACCTATGAACTGGTGTGACTGTAACACTGCAACTATGTAAAATAAAATCAATAATTCGACTACAATGCAGTAAAAAAGTGGACAGTAAGGAAAGGGTTACACTCTGTAAAACAGATACATCCACTCACACACACTTACTTACACACACTCCCAGACACACAAACACACACTTACACACACTCCCAGACACACACACACACACACACACACACAGAATTATACATACTCAAATGAATTGGTATGGCTATAACCATATAACCAAAATCAGTCAGAAGACTGAAATAAGAGATTAAAATCAGATCAGACCCAGAAGGATTAAGCTCTGATAATGCATTCCTGTTCATTTTTGTTACATTTTTATAGAATTTGAATGTTTTATGTAACAAACTGCTTTCGGTGTTCAGGTTTGAATGTAGAAATAATAATGCAAAAACCTACACTTCAAATCAACATTTAAAACAACAAAAAATATAAACCTTGACAAAAAGTAGTCTTTGAGAATGCCTTAATATACATTTAAATCCACAACCTAATAAAAGTAAACAATTATGTATAAAAACAACTAGGGAATTCCAAAGCCTCTCTATAGAGTCCTATACAGGAATCTAGTGGTTACACCATGAAATTACAGGTTTTTCTTTCGTTGCTCTCACCAGGAGGTGCTATTCTGTCTTCAAAAATTGGACCTAGTCTCTATTTTAATCTGAAATACTGCATTAATTGAAAAATAATTGTAAAAAAATTAGGAAAATAAATCTGTACTATTTTCAATGGGAAAAATTTATCATAATTATTGCATAAATATTAATTAGTACCATGAAATTCTCTCAAAATACAAAAGAAAAAATATTATTGAACAAAAATATATTAGATTGATTTTACTGAAGAAGAAAAAAAAAAGTTACATTTCAAGTGTCCGGTCACTTTTGCCAACTAGTTTTCAGGGGAAGTCGCTAAAGGAAGGTCGATTTGTTGCTAAAAGTTGCTAAATGACGTTGTGATGTCATTGCGCGATGACTTCATTATGTAATCACATCGCAAAATTGTGTCACTACATCAAATCTCAGTGCCAAATATACAAAATACAACAAAATATATTTTTATATGTTAATTTAGATTTGTTCGTAAAATATAAATGCATAATGCATAATATAATGGTAAAATATAAATATTTTTACATATTTTAACATTGAATTATTTTACACTTACACATTTTTGAACGATTACAAGTTTTTTTATTAGCTAGTAAACTAGTAAAACTACACATTCTGAACAATTCTAGTTTTAAGCAAGTATTAGTCAGTATGCTAAAGAATTCACATAAAATTAAAAAATAGCTAAATTTGTTGCTAGGTGCGAATAATGGTAGTCCAAGGCACTCGAATCTTATTCAAAAAAAATTTAAAAAGCCTTTATTTCATCATGGCTATAAGTTTTAATAACAGGTGACAAGAGCACACCTACGCGTTGCGGCTATTTTGCCTTCGTCAGGGTGTGAGTAACAAACACAATCAGAGTTCATTTTAAGCAGCAGTTAATTAGTCAAATAACAATCACCTGGTTGTTCTACACAATCTTTATTACAAGATCTTCGTTATTGGAAAGCCAGTTCAAAGCCTCTACTTCTTCTTTTGAAAGATTATATTGTTTTCTTCTTGTTGAGGCGAAAATCTTGTCAGTTTCATACGTTACTTTTTTGTAGAAGGAATTCAACGTTGGATTAGATGCACATGGCATAAATGTTGATTTGGGCTTAAAAGATGTAATCTTCTTATCGTAAGTACGAGTGGCCGTTTCAGGTGTGTAGTACCAGACTTTTAACTGAAGACTCCGATGGAACCTAAATAAGTCCACTTTGGTCTGGAATTCTTTCGCTGTATTTGTTGGTGCATAGGTCAGACCTTTTGATAAAACAGAAGTACAGCTTGTTGGTAGAGTAATATTTGAAATGTTTATCACTTCATCTCCCTTGTTCGACTCCTGGTGTATCTGCCTTGAATTGGGAGTCTTGACCGATCTACCTCTTCCTCGTCTCGTCTTCCGTCCTCTTGTCTTCTGGATCTCTGAAAAATTCTGGACTTGTTTCCTAAAAAATCTCTTCTGGGTGAAATCTCCACTGCTGATTGGTCTTCATCACTACTCGGTAAGTTAAAAGACACTGATCTCTTTCTATGAGTCTTTACATTCCTTTGTGACCATGTGTATACCTTATGCTCCTTATAGTCATTTTCATCTCTTCCAAATTTTGCCAACTTCTCTTGCTTGAGCTTTTTGGATAATCGTTCTAAATCTTCTTTAAGTTTTTCTTCAAATTGCACAAACGATTCATGCCCATCTGATGTTATACCTTCTTTAATCTTGGCAATCTGTTTTTGTGTTTCTGCCTTCTGTTTTTTTGCTTCTTCAATTAACAGTAACATAAGGTCCTGGGAGCATTTATTTAAAATTGCTTCCCACTTTTGTCTAAAATCTGTTTCTCCAGAACCAAACGAAGGGAATTGTTTAATTCTAAGTCCTCTTGGCATCATATTTTCTCTCCAGTAATCTGATAATGTGACCACATGAAGATGTAATCTCAATTATTTTTCCGAATATGTCTCTTGAGTTCATAACACAGTTTTTTTAAATCTACATGCTGCAATCCATGATCTTGACTCAACAGTGTGTCTGTAACAATGATCTTCTCACCTTCTTCTTTAGAGTAGGAAAAATATCTCGTCGTCATCTTTTGATGAAAGAAAAGTATCACTCCCCGAAAAAACGTATTTTTTCTTACTGGACGGAGCAACTCCTGCACATGACGACCCCTCAACGTCCTTAATTCCTCGAAATAAAGAATGCAAAATAAGTGCTGCACGGGGTATTAGGTTTCTAGTCTCGGTGCTCTTTGGGTGCAAGGGATGATTCAACTCGTAAGAATAATGGTAGTCCAAGGCACTCGAATCTTATTAAACAAAAAATTAAAAAGCCTTTATTTCATCATGGCTATAAGTTTTAAGAACAGGTGACAAGTGCACACCTACGCGTTGCGGCTATTTTGCCTTCGACAGGGTGTGAGTAACAAACACAATCAGAGTTCATTTTAAGCAGCAGTTAATTAGTCAAATAACAATCAACTGGTTGTTCTACACAGGACAACCTAGTGTCCTGTTGCTAGGTGCTTTTGGAAGAAAAAGTAGCTAGTGTAGTCTGAAAAGTTGCTTAGCAACAAAATTGCTAAATTGGCAACTGCGCATATCAGCTGAAGAGTCCTCTCGATTCCCGCCATTAATCACCGCGCGCTCGCCGTATGAAGGGGCGTCGTTTATGCCTGATTATGTAACGAGTGCTGGATTATTGTCACCTTTAATGTAGAAGAATCTATTTGTGGATCTGCTCGGTTTCAGGAGGCTTGGCATCGCTGGATCTTCTGGAGGATTCCAGCGCGTGACACACACACGCATCCTAACCGCTACGTGTTTTCAAACACGTTTAACGAACGTCTGTCATTGGTCAGTTCAACGGATAGTCCCGCCCACAGACTCATACGATTGGTCGAGTCAGAAGCTGCTCAAATTAACATTCTGAAAGCGATTTTATGTTATATTAAAATAAACCAAAACATACCAAGATGGTTATGATGCATTCAATTCTACTAAAGAACCGAACCGAATCAACTCTGAAATGAATTGAGCTGAATAATGTCTTGTTAGAGCTTTACATTTTTAATGAAGTTTGCATCTGTTATTTTCC